GCTTACAAGCTAATGCAGGAGACAAGGCACCAGCTGGCTCTAGACAGGTTGGGAATACAAAGAAAGGGAGAGTCTGACTCTGAATGATAAGCAGGGATCGTGAGAGCATTAGCCTGACTGTTAATGGCTTTTGAGCAGCGTCTCAGGAATTTTCAGGAAGCAAGGTAGGCAGCTAGATGTGTAGGAAAAGCTCCAGCCAAGCACGAAGATCAGCCGGGGAGAAGAGAAAGTGCTTCTGCATTTTTGTGTTGCACAGGTGGTTGATGGAAGCTGTTGTCAGGGCCTGTTTGGAATCGGGGGCTGTCGTACACAGTGGGAAACAATATGAGGAATGAGGATAAGTCATGAAAGGCCTTAGTAACTTTGTATTGGATGAGACAGGAGCGACTCAAAGGGTTTCAGGAACATGCAACTTGTGACAAAGGCAGCAAGGTGAGATTATTGTCTCTGTAGCAGCTTTCTGCCTGGATCCGAGCAGGGCAAGACTGGTGTGGGGACAGAAAAGGATGTTGCAGTAGCCGAGCTGATCAGACCTCAAGTAAGAGGTGTATTTATGCAACACCTAGCGAAGGCAGCCTCTCGCATGTGTTCCTCAGGCTGCACAAGACTTGAACAACGGCAAGGAAAACCTGCAAAGAGGTTCGAGCTGAATGTCATTTAGCAGGTATCATCAGTGAGCGCTCGGGCATCTTGCCTGTTATTAAGCTTTAAGAGGCCAGCAAGAGTCCACAGTCAGACACAGCCAGGGTCTCCTGAACACGCCCCTTGGTGATCAAGAGGCCTTGCAGAGCAGTGAGAGAACGTTCAGAGTGATAGGAGGGAAGTAGGGAGAGTGGCCTAAAGAAACCCAGGTAGGGCAAGACATTAGCCAAAAGAAACGCAGTCAAGTGTGCCAGAGGCAGCTGGCTAGCAAGGGAGAACGAGAGCTGACTAACAGTACAGAGATGTAGCTGAGAAAAATTAGCTGAAGATTTGAGGGAGAGCCACTTTAATGTGAGGCAGAGGCAATCTAGAACGTGGAGCTGTGTGGCAGGCTTAAAACAGGTGGTTTTTCAGGCGGTTTGGACAGGAGGAGCTTGTAGAAAGCAGCTGTAAACAGTGTGTTGAACGGGAGATTAGAGTGTGAGGCAATTTGTTCATGGGCAAAGTGAAAACTCTGGAGCTTTAAAGGCAAGACATTCATGCATTTTTGACGAAAGAGAAGAGCACTGCAGGACAAAGGAGTGGGGCTGGTAGAGATCAGACACTCCTTTCTCTGCTTTCCTTGGGCTCTGTCTGTATGCCCCATGCAATTTCTCTCCATCATTCAGAAAGCAGAACTACCATTTATGTTCAGAAAAGGAAAAGGCAATGTTTACCAAGGAGTAGAATGGAATCACTCAAGAGTGGGTGAGTTGGTAAAGAGGCCACACCCAGTCCTTAACTGGCATCCAGCTGGTCATGTGAGAGGGTATTAGGAAGCGCTTGCTAGGTACATATGCTCCATGTTTGGCATTGCTACTGTCTTTCATGAAAGAATTTCGAACTACTAAACAGAAGCTCATGGCATAAACTTTCCCTGTAGGCATCAGATGCTGTTTTCTCATTGGGGAAAGTTCAAACGGGTGGCTTGCCTGTTGCTGCTCATGTAACCTATGTGATGTGAAACGACATTACCAGACTTAGTCTTACTGCTGTACGGACATGACAAACATGTCCTGGAAACACTCTCTCACAATACCAAGAAGTAACCTTCTGAAATAACTGTTTTCCTGGTAGCTGCCTCATTGCTAAGCAAGGTGACAGAATGTGGCCTGTTTTTATCCTCACTGAGGCTGGTGACAAGTCACCCAGTGATTTCAGCATGGACAGAGCTGAAATCACTCAGCTGAAATCAGAGCTGAAATCAGAGCTGAAATCAGAGCTTTGCCTGATACCTTTATGCATGCTCCTCTCTGCGGATTCCCGGTGGCTGGAATGTGTTGTGCATAATTTGTTCTGGAGGTTGGCAGGTTTTCACACCTTGTGTGTCATACACATGCTGGTAACAATAAAACCCATAGCTACCTGTGTAGTGCCTTTTGGATGCAACAGAACTCACAACAGTGTTTAATGTTGGCTATATTGTAAACGACAACAGTAAAGGGTCTATAATTACTGGCTCATCAGAAGAAGGTGAAAAGCAAGCAGATGAAGAAGGCAAAGATATGCGAAGGTGCTATAGCCTTAGACAGAGGAAGACTGTTGTATGCTCTCAGGCTCCACTGGAAAGTAGGCTATACGTGCAGTTTCTCTGAAGGGTAAATTTCTTCTGTATGAGGGTTCTTGAATAAAACTCTACAGATACCGGGCATTATATCTGGGTACTGTAATTACAGGGTCATCAGAAGGAGGTGAAAACCAAAAAGAGGAAGATGGCAACGATTCTCTGAAGCAGTATAACCTTCGACCAAGGAAAGCTGTTGTATGCTATCAAGATCCATTGGAATGTAGGTTATAGGCACAGTTTCTTTGAAGGGCTGATTTCTTGCATATAAGGGGAGAAATACACAGAGAAGTTATATCTTAGGTCCTGTAATTATAGGGTTGTCAGAAGAAGGCGAAGATCAAGAAGAGGAAGATGGCAAAGGTACTCAGAAGCACTCTGACATTGCCCATGCTCCGTTGGAAAGGAGGTTATAGGTACGGTTTCGCTGAAGGGCTGATTTCTTGCGTATAAGGGGGATATCAGTTCTTGACTGACGATGTATGTGTGCACACACAAATGAGAAATATCATCTAGGGTCTGTAAGCAGAGGGTCGTCCAAAGGTGAAGACCTCAAAGGTGAAGGTGGTAAAGATACTTGGAAGCAGTATCACCTTCGCCCAAGGAAAATGTGGTGCAGTATCAAGCTCCATCGCGAAGTAGGCTAGACGCACAGTCTCTCCAAAGGGCTAATTTCTTGTGTATAAGTGGGATATAATTTCTTGAACGAAAATCTGTACACCCAGACACAACCTTTATTCCAATTCCTTACCTTCATTCTGCAAGAAAAACTCCTACAGTTTCTCTTCGATGCCTATATCCTGTGTGCATGGTCTTTCTTTGGCAGTTGGCGTGCTCATTGCTGGCTTTCCTTTGGTATATGCACTAGTCTGTCTCTAATGGAGGTCAGTGCTGTACTACAAGCATAATGCTAACTGCTATAGCATGACCTGAGAAGGTCTACTGCTTAGAACTCCGTTTCTTTTTCTATTTGCTGCTCACAGCTTACAATACCTTTTCAGGGTTTCACGCTACTCTTTATCTGAAAAGCACGTGCAATATTCTTGAACATTTTTTGCTTTCAGCGGAGTCAGGACAAGCTAAGACATTTTATTCAGGGCTGTCTCCTCCTCTCGGACAAAGAGCTGCATCTACACGTGCTCAGTCACGAAGCCCTGTCTGCAAAAGAACAAACAGGTTGGTGTATGGTTTGTGCTAGCTCTTGTTTACCAGCAGGGGTGTCGGTCACAGTGCTGAATAACGAAACAGTCGTAGCACTGTAACCGTGCCAGTCTGAAAGTCTAGAGCAAACAAGATTTATTCTATGCAGAAGTCCACCAAGTTGTTCGCTACGTAGTGTAAATTAAGAAGGTGGAAGCAAGTGTTAGTGTAAAGACAGTCAGCTACGCAGCTCCATATTTCTATGGTCTATAAGGCATTGAATCATCCCTATTTTTGCCTAGGTTTGAATGCTGCCCCCTTTGTATTCTGCACTAATGTAAAAGAAGACTGAGAACTTGTGTCGAGATGGTATTTTCCACTGGCAGGCTGCCTGACCTGTCTGTCCCAGCCTGCTGGTAGCCCTGCCTTTGCTTTTCAAGCTCAGCATGACGCTGCCTGGTCTGCCTATGGCAGGGAGAATTGGAGAATCACAGAATCACAGAATCACAGAATCGTTTAGGTTGGAAGGGAGCTCTGGAGATCATCTAGTCCAACCTCCCTGCTCAAGCAGGGTCCTCTAGAGCTTATTTCCCAGGATCACATCCAGACGGGTTTTGAATATCTCCAGGGAAGGAGGCTCCACTACCTCTCTGGGCAACCTGTTCCAGTGCTCTGTCACAGTAAAGAAGTTTTTCCTCAGGTTCAGCTGGAACGTGCTGTGGTTCAGTTTCTGCCCGTTGCCTCTTGTGCTGTCGCTGGGCACCACGGAGAAGTGTCAGGGAAACAAAGGCAGAGACGCTGGCAAGTCATAAAGCATGGAGACCTCGGGACCAAGCGATTTAAGCTCTTTCAGGATCTCTCCCTTCCTTTCCTTGCTGTGCTCTTTTTGGTAACAGCTGTGAACATTAACTGCAGAGGCAATCAGGGGGCATAGATTCACTCATAAACTACAGCTACTTTGCATTGCGCTGGCAAGCCATATGCAAAAACCAGAAAGATTAGCAACACTGTGGTGGGGTGTTTTTTAGTCACTCCGCTCCTGATAATGACTTTCTTTCTGGAACTGAGATGAGTAGTTGTGTTTGGAACTATTCCTAAACAAGGAAACTTCCCAACAAACTGTTAGTGGCCGTATTGCTGACAAAGGTTTTTTGGGATTCTGTAAGCAGCTCGAGCATGGAGAGTGCTAGCTACTGCTGGACCTGAGCACTTTGTTTACCATTCTTGAAAGCAGCCAGTTTAGGAAGGAAGAGGCTCTACCAGTGTTGGAAGACCAACTTTGAAATAGAGTTGAAGCAGGCTACGTTTCAGAGTGGGTACGGAACACCTAGTGAAACTGGATTTTCTTCTGTGTTAGAGTGATCAGAGAAAAAGAATAATCCGTATCTGAATTTTGGTTGTCATTATGCATTCATGTGTTCGCCACGTTGAGTGGCATGGGATTCTCAAAAATGCTTGAGGGATGTAAAAATAATCACTCAGCTAGTCTAATGTCTGAAGCGCCCACCTGCCTCTCTTTACTCTTGGCTACTGAATGCAAATCAATTGCAATGAATGTTTAACAATTTGGGAAGTTTATGCAACTTTGTAAGTGCTCCTGCACTCCCTTGCCAACATGAAAAAAGCAGGAATCCCTCCAGCCTCACGTTCACTCAGAAGGTGCCTTTCCCCTCCTCCTTCGTTCACATCAGGTGTCTTCCCCTTGACTTTGGGAAAAAGGAGTTCGAGAGAAACGACAAGGATCGACTGAAAACGGGAACAAATCTGGCTGAAGTTGATCCAGTGCCATTCGATAGTTCGGTGAGTATTTGTAATGCATTGCTTCAGGGGGGACTGTTCCAGCGTTTATGAAAACTTTCCATACTGTGCTGTCTATAGCTGCCTTGGCTTACAGTTTTCTCTCAAGGAACTTCAGAATTGTCCTGAACGTTTCCTTTGTGCTGGTGTATGATAACTTCTGACAAAGCCTTTTCTAGGTCGCAGCTTTCTCTAACCTACAAAATGTGTTCTGCTGAATTCCTCTTCAGGTGCGATTTGATGGCGTGGGTGGTCTCTCTGACCACATTTCAGCTTTAAAAGAGATGGTCATTTTCCCGTTACTTTATCCAGAATTCTTTGAGAGATTCAAGCTGCGATCCCCAAGGTAACAGATGGTGTATTCGAACTACACAAACTAATGCAACCCTTTTCAGGAGAACATGAAACCAAGGTGTCAATGCATGTGTGCGCTTCAAAAAGTTTTGTCACCCCTGCTGAGTGTTTACAGGGGTAGTAAGAAGTGATTTCTTAAAAATGGATAAAATCCAGGCTATATGCAGACTCAGAATGCCAGCAATGCCTTGCCATAGTTAAAGGCTTACGGTCTGCTGTTTTAAAATGAGAATAATCCCAAGAAGCGTCCTGGTGTAAAAAGATGGGCTTGGGTTTTTTTTTTTTGCTTTTTTGTTTGTTTTGTTTCGATTTTTTTTTTCTCGAGCGCTTTCTGTAAAGTCAACTTGACTAGTTCACAAGCAGGAAGGGATTGTCTATCGGAAGTCAGTAGTAAGTTGTGGTTTGAAAGACTGACTGACTTCACATGCTTTTCATGCTCAGGTATCAACTCGGTAATCCTTAGGACTTCCAACTAAAACGTTGCCGTGTTTGTAGAGCAGTGTAGACTAAAATAAAGATCAGTCTGCTTCTTACATAGTCATATTGGTTCTGCGCTGTGAGATGGAATCATTCACAGATAGCTTGCTGTTAGGATATGGGTTGCCCCCCCCCACGTTAAAGTATTATTCTGTTTTGGGGGAGGGGGCAATGCCTATAAATTTAATGGTTACCTTTATTTATTTTTGGCCAACAAAACTGAACTCCCAGTATGTTGAAATTGGACTTTGAATTCTTTCCTTTCCATAACTTTCAATATACTGCACATACTAGAAGAAAATCTTCAAATGTTTTGCTTCTTTATTCACTGGAATTCTCTGGAACGCTCTAGCTGAGGTTTGAAGGATTGTCTAGTAATGCAGAATACCCATTTTTTCCCTCCCCACTTTAGATTTCCTCCTCATCTGTGGACAACAAAGTCTGAGAGATGAATCCAAGAGCTTAAAAGGTTTTCAGGGAGGGAAAAAAAACGTGTTACCAGTCTTGCCCCTTGTGAAAGCTTGCTCCTGTTTTGACTTTTCTCCCACTTGAGCTCTTACTGCTGCCTAATATTGAAAATGCTTTGGTTAGGAGGGAAGGGTTGCTTGTTTTAGGGATGGGGGACTGTAAAAGTCACTTTTCCATGTTTTTGTCACAGCTACGTAAATCTCTCTCTCTGTGTTTGTTTATTTATTTTGTTACAGAGGCTGTCTGTTCTATGGCCCACAGGGGACTGGAAAGACACTGGTAGCTCGAGCTCTTGCTAACGAATGCAGCCAGGGCTTTATGAGAAAAGGCGCTGACTGCCTAAGTGAATGGGTGGGAGAGTCTGAAGGACAGCTCCGTTTATTATTTGAGCAGGTAAGATGCAAACGTGCACTATATTGTGTCAGAGAGGTGACAGAGTAGTTCTGTGGTGGACGTCTTCACGGAGAACTCGGTCTT